GGATAAAACTGTGGTGATAATCACGACTGTTCCAATCTGGGGCGGGCACGTAGTACTTCGAGAAATCAAATTTATGTACTGGAAGTTCACGAGATGCCATCTTGAGTCAGTACTTCTGGGGCGTTTCGTGCACTTGGAAGTACGCTCAAAAGATATTAAATTATAAAAAAATAACTAAATAATAGAACGAAAAACCACCTCTTCTCCTCCTTCTTGCGTTCTTCGGATTCACTGCGTTCATGCGACACTTCCATATCCTCCACACGTAGATGATGTTGCCTCTCCAACGTTTGATCGACTCGTACCACGGATTCGGATGCGGATTCTGTATGAAGTAATTGGGGTGATGCTTCACGAACACCACGCATTACAACGCCTTCCACTTCCACCTCGACCATACGCCTACTAACGGACAGCTCTTCCGTCTCGACTCGTTCGTCGCCGGATGCTTGCGTTTCCACTCGGACTTCTCCTTCGTCGCGTGACTCTGATCCGACGAACGTGGCTGCGAAGTCTGTTGGTTGTTTTTGGTAGCTGTAGTTGAGATGGAATATAGTTTCCTCGCTACATTTTGATGCCAAAGCTGTTGGTTCAATGGTACGTGCTTCGGTTCTGGTCTCGTGTACTTCCTCAACAGCAACTCGGGCACACAGCACATCTTTGTTAGCTGTGATAGATTCTTCTGAAGAAGCGCTTGTTTTCAAAGATAAGGATTCTTCACGAGCAATTTTCAGCGTTACGGCCTTCTCCTCGCCTTTGTCCTCGCTTCTCATGCTGGCGCTAACCGTATCAGGCGAGATCTCACTGGCTGCCTGGCAGAAGAGGTTTGTTCCACCACCGTATCTAGTTTCCTTCAACGTCGACTCTTCCAGAACACTGCTTGTCTCCTTGTGAAGAACGTAGTTGGTTGAGATGATATTCTGTTCAGATTCTTTGGAACTAAAGGTCACCGGCGCTGCATCGTTGGACGCGATCTTCGTGATTGTGGTAGATTCATCTGATGATCGGCCGCTGTTCAAGGCAAAGCCAGAGCCGACTACTTCTTCCGAGGCTGCACTTAGCCACTTGTCTACCGTATCTTCTCGTCTGACGTCACGAATGATTTCGGTAGTAGCAACATCGTCAGGGCTTGAGAGAGTAGGAGTAATAGCTGTGTGGTTTTCTTCTGCATAACCAGTCTGCAAATCAACTTTACCACCATAGGCGACAAGTTTGATAATTCTTTCAGCATCAAGGTGACTGTCGTCCCGGCGAAGATGAACATTGTTGACTTCTTCCACGGATGTAGATTCGTAAATAGATTTGGCAACTGGCTCTCCCAGACGAGGAGCTTCTCTCTTGGTCATAGTTGTTTCAACCTGCGAGCTCTTCTGCAACTGGCTGGTTACACCGATAGCACTATCTTCGGTAGCAGACGCAAACAGTTCGACCGGTCCTTCTTCGTTGCGTAGAACGTGTGTGATGTTGGCTTCAAGCACGTCTACGCGCTTCTTCGTCCAATCGTTGTCGACAAGTGCTGTTTCTTCCGACGCATGTGCAGTTGATAACTGATAGTTACCGCCCTCTCTTGGTATGAGGATAGTTTCTGAAATGAACGCCGTACTTTCATCGCGTTCGTAAACAAGAGTCGTAATTTCAGACAGCAATGATGATTCACGCACTTCTATTGTTATACAAGGGCCACGATTTGCCGCCTCCTTCACCTCTCTGACTGTCTGAGCATCACCAAGGCGACTAAGATTAAATACGCCTGATGTGGAAGCTTCCTTAGAACATCCACAGTATAGGATAGGAGATTCAGCGGTGTTGCGATCGGTGATGATAATCGATGCATCCATCTCGAATGTTTCTGAGCTTTGAAGAGCAGAGTCGACGTTAGCATGTGCCTCTTCCGAAGATTTGGTTGACAAAGATGTTGGCTCAACTGTGTACGGTATGAATTTAGTGGTAGCAGTATCTGCCCTTTCGCTCTTTCTATGCAGCTGGATGATAATGTTCTCAATTACGTCACTGGTTTCTCCGGCTGTCATCATTGTGTGTTCACCAATGTTCGGCTTCTTGAGAGTGATGGTCTGCTCCTCACATCCATTGGGCCTGTTCCACACTTCGTTGACGATTTGGATCTCTGAGGTGGAAGCAAACGTTGAAAGGGCAGCACCCGGAATACTGTTCGCAATCACGACGATCTTCTCAGTGTGTACAAGAGCCAGGCGAGTAGCGACAAGCGTATCGTCCGACTCCGAAGCACATTCGCGGCTGTATTTGGTGTTCAGGGCCACAGCTCCTCCATTTCTTTTCTCCTTCATTATCCTTGCAACTTGTTCAGCGTCAAAGTCACGATTATAAACACAATTGGTTGTCTCGTGGTTATCGCCTGCCTCTTTCAGCGTTGTCATGCAATAATCCATATTTGGAGCGTCTAGTTTCCTGGCGACGGTGTATTGTGGTGCTGGACGAGTCCAATCTTTTTCTACTACACGTATTTCTTCGATACTTGCCAGAGTACTGAGCTTGAGTGGGCTGACACTATTTCCTATTACTATGACCTTATGAGCGGACAGATCGGTAGGACGCGGGCACAGCAGAGTGCCACCCATGGTTGAACTGACATCGCTGGCTGATTTCGTTGATAACTGTACTGATCCCCCATAGCGTTTTTCATCAATGAGTATCGCTTCCTGGTGGAGAGCATCGTCACGCCGAAGATTGGTCGATGAGATTACACCCTTCTCCGTTGTTTCTGTGGCCGCAAGTGTTGTAGGTATGCCCTTACCGGGAGCGGCGAACACTTTTCGGTCAGCCTCCTTGTCTCCAAGACGACTAAGATTGTAGTTTGTGACCGAATCTGTGGTCCTGCACGAGTATGTGTTCAGCTGAGCAGGTACAGCCTCGTTGGCAATGAGGATAGTGGTTTGTGTTTGATATTCCTTGATGACGGGCTTGACGAGGTCGGCGGTATAGCTCTCGGACTCGTCACCGGCTGCCTTAGTGCGTAACTCATGTCGCCCACCTTGCTCCGCGATGTACATCGTGCGGTCTGAATCGAATTTCTCGTTTGGTTTTGTAAATATTGGATGAATATTTTCTATAAATTCCGCGCTCTCTTCCACTCTCAATTTGGCGCTTTCTGAGTTTGCCGCGGCAATCTTCTTAGAAATCACATAGGCGGCATCTTCGCGCTTCCACACCTTGTCTACCACTGAATTTATTGTTGAGCTTGCGCTTGCTGATAGGTGCTGAGGTTCAGTGCTGTGAGCCAAGATGTTCTTCCTTTCACAGTGTGCCACGACTTCCCGAACTTTCTCCAGTTCTCTGTTGGCACTGACTTCGTGATCTTCCGATGCGTCCGTCCTGAGCTGATATCGACCTCCAAACCACGCAATCGCAATGCGTCTTCTCCACAGCTTCCTTCATCGACTCTTGCTCGTACTGCTGATAAACTGTATGCTTCTCTTCTCTGCTCTCACGCGTCGTTGCCGTGACATCAGCACCGCGATTAACATCCTTCTGCACCATCAGGATGGCTTCCTTACTATCTGCTCTTGTGTAACTTGTAGCGAAGTTTACTGATTCAGAGGTGGGCTCGAAAGTCGTACATAAAGCTGGTTGAATAGTGTTTGAATCCTTCACAACTACAGAATTCACGGCAAACTGCGGCTCGACGGTCAAAGCTGGATTCACTTCCATCAGAACGTCTTCAGCAGCGTCACAGCTAAGCAGTTCAGCATTGGTAGTCAGTGGAATCTGAACTGTTTTTTGCAAGGTCTCATGCGATTCTTTAGTGGTGAAGTCATAGTAGGTGTTTGCAAACTCTTCGAGGCTTTCCAAAAATCGAACAGTGAATGGAGCAGCACTGTTTGAACAAGATTTAGTTGTCGAGGCTTTCTCGCTCGCCAATTTTGTCTCGTAATTGAGATTTAAGGTTATGACCTCTGTTGACGCAGCTGTTACTCTCAGACTAATCTCAGATTTAGTTCGTTGTATCTGTTTGTGACGAACATTCTCCAGTTGAACCTTGTTGCTTAGAGCTATAGCTGCTTGACGGTCCTCTGTTGTTACGGCTTTGGTGTAAAGATAGTAGTCACCACCAAAGCGTTTGTCCGTCCATGTGCCAGCCGAATGCTCTGGAACTGACGGAATATCGTAGGTCAAGCCAATGACAACTGTTTCATCTCCACTTTCGGTACAAGATAAGTTGACATTGTCGCCTCGGTTGCTGATGCTATGAAGTTTATCAGATTGATCTTGTTGTGGTTTCACTGACCAGTCAGCTACCACCGCAGTTTCTTCCTCTTTGCTCTCTCTAGTCCAGAGTGATAGTTCATCGCGTCTTGGAATCGCATTGACCCTTTCTACGTCATCACATATCAGTTCCTTGCAGTTCATTTGAGCGTAGAGTACAGCATGTTCATCACCAAACTCTTCCGTTTCAAGTGCTACTCCTTCTGTTTTATTAGCCAAAGGCCACTCAATAGTGTGTGAGTCGACTCCGCCTTTTGTTCCAAGTAATTCCACTGCTAAACGGATTTTCTCGTCACCACTCTCCATAGTCTTCATCCTCATCGCTGGTGCCATGTTCGCGGCGATATGCAACTTTCCAATGGTGAATTGATCAGGTGTTCTGAGTAGATGGTGACTGCTCCAGACGACATCCGTCTCAACGGCATCTGCCTTGATGTATACCGGAGCCGCTGAAATGGAGATCTTGTCTGGCAAGCAAATCTCTCGTTTTTGTATTGGTTTTTGTAGATCGATTTTGTGCAAGTTAATGATGGCGTTAAACTTGACATCGCCGCTCTCCTTCAATCTCCATGCTTCCTTTCTGAGCACCTTTTCTGGACGTGTAGTCTCACAGATAATAGTTTTTCTAGCCTTTTCAACAAAGATCGCATCCGTACTGCATCCCTCAATGACAAATCGTCTACACACATTTTCAAGGGGAACAACTCGTCTCAGTAGAGCGATGTGCATCATTTCGTCCGGTAAGATCATCGCCTTTGTCAAGGTTTGAACTTCTTCAGAAGACTGGAAAGTGGCCAAGCTGGATGTAACTCAACCTTCTTCGGTAAATATACCTCAGCCTCGAGATCGCGTTCAATTCCTTCCCACTTGGACAAAATTTCGACGGCTCCATCTTCAGCTTCTCTAAGACGCTCGCTACTTTTCTCTCTGATGAAATGCTTCCGCTTGGTCATTGTGGAATATGTGCGATCAGTGCACTTGTTATAATTTGCCGTGGTAGTAACTGTGAAATCTGTCGAGTGTTTTGTTGATAAACTTGCCGACTCCTTCCTGTCGGTCTTTGGAAAGAATTCCGTTTTCAGAGAAGAGCTTGGGAGAGTCAATTCGACAACCGCCTCGTGACGGTCATCACCTGCTGCTTGGGTGGCAAAGCGTTGCTGAAGAGATGTAGAGACGCTTACGACGTGACTGCACGACTCTCGGGTCTTTGGTAGAGTTCTGCGCACTAGAGTGATACCACTACCGCTGTCAGCATGTCCGTACTCTCGGAAAGATGAGCAAACACCTGATTCTCGGTTGATTTCATCGACAAGTTGTTCAATCTCGGCAAAATCTTGGTCGACGTGGTGGATTTGGAGAGTACGATCTTCATGATCAATGGAAAATGCTCTTAGTTGCTTCTCAGTAGAGGCGGTAGTCATAGATAGGGCTGTGCCTGCCACAGCGTAGTCTTTGCTAATCTGCTGCACACTTGTAGCATCAATTTTCGACGCGGCTTTAGTTGAGAACCTGAAACTTTCGTGCAGCGCCTGGGCCTTCGTCACCTCCGCTTCCAAATCGTTCAGAATAGTCTGCCACTCGGAAGCCGTCGATTGGAGATTCCATTCTTGTTCGTGCAATTTCTTTTCGGCTCTCTCCTTTGACCGGCCTCGAAGTTTTATAGTAGCGCTTTCCTTGAATCCGGACTTGGAGTATGCAGTCGTTGTTGTAGTGGCTTCCGAAGTGCTCGCCTTCAAGCAGGACTCTATTTTAAGGTCATTAGTGACACGAACCACCTTGCTCACTCCTACTTGTTCCTCGGCTCGTCGTAGCGCTAGCGTGATGATGGCCATTTCGTCGCCAGCAGCCTTTGAGCTGAAACGCTCGAGCCAACGCCGTGGCATTGGGAAAGATCCTTCAGCTTCGTCGCTCTCGTACTTCTTTTGTACGATTTTGCCAAATAGCGTGCAAATTTGCGTCTTTTCATCACCGTACTCGTGTAGTTTTGCGGACGTCAACTCCTTTAGTGAATGTTTGTTGATACTTTCCGATATATCCTCGTCGTTCACACGCTCAAGATGTTTCTCCGATCTTGTCATTTCGATCTGGAATTTCCTTTCCTGCATTTCACTACTTTTGAGAGGAATACTAGCACGCGCGATCTGCACAGTATCACCTCTACCTATACTCATTGATGACTGTGTATCTACTTCTTCAACTCCACGAAGATTTGCCATCGAGCTTGCTCGGTTTTCAACCGCGAATGTTTTTGTCTCAGACATCTCATCCACATGAGTCTCGTACTGAGATGAAGTTACTTCGTCCTTGGCTTCTGGCATACGGCCTGATCCTTGCACCAAGATACGTTCCTTACCCACAATGCCTGCACATTCCGTGCTGTCCTGTCGTTGGAACCTTATGGTAGAGGACAGAGCCGTTTCTTTTGTGGCAGCAAGACGCTGTTGTAGCTCCGTCTGATTACAGGAAACTACAGATGTTACGCTACTTTCTATCTGAGATTCTCTTCTGAGTAGGTTTTCAGTAGAAGTTTCGATATCTTTCGACGCCATCGTTGAGTGCACTTGGACGAATTTCCTTACATCTGGTAGACTCTTTGTGATATCCTCTTGTGAATGTGTTTTTGCTCGAATTTTTCCGAACTCCGCAGATGTGCTAGCACTGTCCTCACCGTACTCATGAAACCGCTGTCGATTTTCGCATTTCATCAAATCTGCAGCAGTATGCTCCGCGACATGTTGGGATGCACTTCGTTGCAAACTAAAGATGGTTTGCGTTTCGTCGACGCTCAATTGCCGCACTGTTGAATCGGTCATTTCTAGTGGTAGCTCTAGCTCACCGTGCCGGGCTGGCCTTCGCACTGTCAAATCGAGTGTCGTTCCTATATCGACCTCTGAGATTGACTTAGTTAAAAGTTGTGATGACTGCTGATCACTATCTTTCCAACAGATCAGTGCCGCTTGGTCAGTTTCGATGATGTCCCACTGGGTGGTTAAGCCTTGTACTTCAGAAATGAATTCTTTATACTTTTGGGATGACAGCATTTCATCACGAGATGTACGGAACTCGCGTTGAGTTCGCAATTCATGTTCGCTTCGTGATAGATGCCGGTCGGTTCCTGTTTTTTCTTCAGTGGCCGCCTTCAGGCAGCCAACGCTTTTTGCCCTATAGAAATCGGTTACTTCTTTTTGTATATGCGCTTCACTTGCCTCAGCAGTGATGTCGCTCGAGATACTCGCTAGGTCCTCAGTGGTTGCCTGTAATCGCCTCTCAACAGAAAGAGTTCTGGAAATCCTCTTTGTCACCTCATCATGTTCCCTCTGAGCTGCTGGCGCTTCGATTCTGGAGAGTGAGAGAACGTGCGTGCTTTCTTCGCTTCCGAACTCACGGTGAACACTTTCCTGACGTTCCTGGTGGAAGTAGCTCTGCTGGCCTGTAACGTCAGCCGTTTGCGTTGGATATGCTAATTCTACAAATTCTTTTTGCTCGCTAATTTCTAAACGTCGACTATCGCTCGCTCGCTTGCTATCGCTGACGATTCGCGTCGCGTCATCAGAAGGAGCTAGGCTTAATTCGCAAAGCGCCTCTGTGACAGCATCACTGGTCGCAACTACATCTCTGATCGTTCGTTCTATCTCCAACGCATGGCTTCTGAATGTCGCTTCTGTGTCTAGTTTCGTATCTACGGCGGTTAGCATTGTGGCTACAGCTTCATCTCGAGCTTCTTCTGTGGTCAATGCGCCCTTCTGTATAGTGGTCTCTGCTAAAACTACGGGTTTACCCTCTTTTTGCTCTTGCTTGCTTTTGTCTACTGCTATTGCGACCTGATGGTCTTCAGTAGCTTTCACGCTAGCTCTATGAAGAGTTTCTTCTTTCACGGTCTCTATGTGATGCAGCGCTGCTAGCTCCTCGTTTCTGATAAGGGTAGCCGCCTGAGTTGCAGCGTGTTCTTGAGATGCTCTCATGGTTTCGTGTATCCTAATCGTACCAGTGGTGCTTATCGACACACTTTCTTGCTCAAATTGCTCTTTCGGAGGTTGAATTGTTTGCGCGGCGAGACCAAGTGTAGCTTCCTCTTTGGTGATTTCTTTGAATTTTCCCATTTGGAAAGAGATCACTTTCTCAGGTATCTGCTCACTGACAGATGTTTCACTGTCAGGCTTTTTAACGTCTGAATAAGCGAGCATGGATGCGACGCCATAAGTCATGATGGTTGACTCTCGCTGTTGTTCAGCCATCATTCCCTGTACTGAGTCCGAGAACTCACGTGTCCTTTCCTCTAGGAGGGAAACTTCATTGTGTTCAGAGGCAGCAGTAGACAACAGGCTCCTCTCTTCTGACTTCTCTCTTGCCTTTAGGGTAATCGAAGTCTCGGCCCCGGGAGCAGTATACCACAGCCCTTGCACTCCCTGTACGCTGCTCTCGCGCATTCTTACTTCCGATGACTGCTTAGTTTTTTCTTTGATGTGGATGTCGGCTGCGCCAACTTGGCTGTCCAAAGACATACTCACGGCTTTGTCCGTTGAAAAGAGTGCAGCTGAACGTGTTGCCTTTTCCTCTCTTTCCATGAGGATCTCTTGGATAGTTCTGGCGGAGTCCACTGTAGGTTCAGTTTTCCATAAGCTTAATGATCCCTCCACAGTAACATCTTCGGATGCCTTCATCTTCTGCACCACCTCCAATTTTCTTCCAGTATCGAATTTGGCGGATGCGCCATCAAACTCCTCCTTCCGTGGTTCAATGAAACCCACTGAAGCAGCCATTTCAGCCTGTTCCATGCCGTATTCCCGAGCAGTTCCTCTCGTGGAAATCGCTCTGATATCCTTTTCGGTCTTGGAAGCCACTCCGCCTTCGGGATATCTTTGATAACTTGTTGTGAACTGTTGGTTTTCGATTGTGAATAATCTCGAATCGCCCTCTTTCTGTGTTTCCGGTAGAAGGGATGTTGTAATATGACGGGGTTCAGTTTTGAACTCCACGTCTGTTTTTATTGTTTCCTCACGGCTCGCCTCTGTGAAGAATTCCATATCTGTTGATTCCAAACTTTTGCCACGGAGGATTTTCTGGGAGGTAGCCATCTCGATGGTAGAGTCCCATATGCCAAAAACCGAGCTCTCCGTGGTTTCACTGCCAGAGATTGTAACCCTTTCCTTCCTGGTATCTGGTAGTGACTTCCCAACTCCGTAGGAAGCACTTCCCTTTGATCGTTTGAATTCAGTCTGAGAAATTTCTTGCGAAGAGGCGGCAGCAGATAGCGATGTTTGAGCTTGATTCGAAAGTATCTTCCGGTCAAATACGGTTTCGACAGCTTGACTGCGACTGATTGTCTCCGATCCTTCCACGCTCAAGTCACTGCTTGCCGCCATTGTTTTGATTGCATGTAGACGACGTTTATCTGCGAGTTCCATAGAAGTTTCAGCGATGTCCGCTTTTCTAGGGGTTAAGTAGCCAACAGCACCGCCAACATCAACTTCAGCAGCTCCGAACTCGCGAACAGCCGCTTTTTCAGAGGTTCTCAGCACCTCGGTCAAAAGGGACGAACTGGAGGCCGTACTTTCACAACTATGTAGAGTGGATTCGCACTGCTGTTTTTCAATTGCGAATGCTCGACCAGCTGAATCGCTTCTTTGGAGTTTAACTACCGTGGAGATATCGGCGGATTCCGTATCACAGAATTGACTTGATGTTGTAATGTGCTCTTCTGCTGCTGCATGAACCGACTTCTGTAACTGTTCTCGCGTTGGTACGCCTACGAAAGCTGATGCCATCACGTTGTTCTCGTCCAATGTTCTCCATAATCCATAAAGAGCCTCATCTTGGGTCTCTGCCACAGTTTTAGCCGCTTCCAATTTCGACTTCTCTGTATCGACTCGTTCTACGTGGCTTTTTTGCTCGATTTTTGCTAATGTCATAGCTTCCAACATTTCTTCTTCTCGTGACGCATAAGCCTCTAGTGATGAACTGTCAATAACATTCGTGACCGATGTGATCTGCGTCTTTTCCAGCAGACTTGTTCGATTAAGCGTCGCCTCATGTTCGGTCGACTCTTCTGTAGTTGCAGAGACCGTGGCTGCATTAGCCAGTACTCGGCTTTCCTTGACTAGCGACTCCACAGCAGCTGCTTCTTCTGGCTTCGGTTGGATGTATCCATGAATACTTTTTACGTTGACGTCTTCTGAGCCGAACTCGCGTGTTTGTGCTATCGTTGTTGATTTCGATGCCTCTGGAATATTTGCGAAATCACTGGCGATATGAGGTGATTTTTCAAGGTGAAGGGTTTGCGTCTGGCTTACTATATTGAATTTCTTGCTGTCGATTTGCTTTTGCGGCGTTGCCAGATGCTCTTCTACATTTTGCTCTTGTACATTTGATAAACTTTGCTCGATTTCCATTGTAGTGACTTTGCTTGCTTGTACTGCGCTTTGTATTTGCTCTAGTTCTTTACACAATTCCCCTAGAAGAATTTCGGCGAAGGCTTGTGTCTGCATTGATTGCCATGTTCCAAAAATGACTCGTTCTGTTGCTGGCGCGGCAGTAATTTCTTCGCTTACAGTTACCTTATCTTTTACGCTATAAATTACACCCGTGTCTACCTCAGGAATCCCGATCAAGATATCTGCTGCTACTTGAATGTCCTTCGTAGCCTGACCATCTAGCGACACTTTTTCTTTCAAATTAACTGCTTTCCTTGTTGCGGACATTTCTGCGCTACCGGATGATGACAGATCAGCACTTAACTGTGCTTCTTTCAAAGATGTCCCTGTTGCTGTAGAGTCTATATAAACCTTCCTCTGCGAAGCAATGGTTGTCGAAACAAAATCACTGCAGTCAGAGGGACTCTCAAGGCGTCCACAGGCCGCATCTATTCGAATATCCTCTCCTCTAAATTCTTTCGCTTTTTGTAGTACCTCCAATTTTGTACTGCTGGGAAGAGTAGCCGAAGTGTCGACCGTAACTCTCGAGGCCCTGAGTTCTGATTCACAATGCGTTTTTTGGTCGCTCAACAACATTTTCACCGTTTCTTTGAGCCTCTGGACCAAAGAAGTTGTTTCGCTGTAATGCTGGCCTTCTCTTTCGAACACTTCTGATGTCTCAGCTCTTATACAAGTAGCATAGAATGCGTCGAGTGCCACTCGTTCCAAGAGAACTAGTGAATTCACCAGAGTCACAGTCTCTAGAGCTGTTATTGTTCCCCATAATGAATACATCGTTTCATCAGTGAGCTCTCGCAAACACCTGGTCAAAGTTTCCTTGACTTTTTCCCCGAGTTGCCGTTCTGTCTTGATATCATCCTCAGGATGACGCAAGTTCGCGTTTAAGGTGGTGCTTATGTCACGTGAGACAGTAGAACTGATGTTGGTGGAAAGGGACCTCAATACATTCCTGATCTGGCTGGCTGTCTCCACAGCACCGGTACGTTCAATTGATTCCAGTAACTGTTCCTGCTCCTCTGTTGTGGCTCTAAGAGTGCTTCGTAGAAGAATTTCTCTCTGCTTTCTGCATATGGTTGTGATTTCTTCACTGCGAAGAGGTGGACGATTGAGTATGCCCAGGCCAACTTCAGCTTGACAAGACTCATGTCTTATCTCCCCAACAGTGGTTGTGGTAGCACCACTTTCGGTAGCTGACCTTTTTATTACTGAATATTCCGAATGCTCGCCGCGTTTCAAGACAAATGAACCTTCAAGCGAATCAGCTTCATATTTGCGGCAAGTAGTAGCCCTGATGGACTCAGGAACTACCACGGTCGTGTCCTCTGATATTTGCCTCTCATGCGCTGAAGTGGTAGATGTTGTAGAATACATAGGAGCGACAACATTTGCAATGACCTGCTCCAGTGAGATAAGTGTTATAAGAAGTGTACTGAGAGATGCTGTGGGCTCAACAGTGCGCCACATACTGAAGGCTGTCTCTTCACAGATTTCTCGGATACTTTCAGTCAGCACAGCTCGTAGATTATCGACAACATTTCCAATAACATTTTCTGCGGTGGAAGATAGCTTTAGATCTAATGTAGAAATGATCTGTGAAGTTATGCGTTGGCTCATTTCAACATTGAAGAGCTCAATAATCTTAAGCACCTCATTAATTTCCGCGTGATGCTGATATCTGATTAAAGATTCGATGAGATGTACTCTCTCCTCTTCTGATGCCTTCACCAGATGTAAGAGTTGCAACAGTCGTCGTTCCTCTAGGATTATATGGCTCTCAGCAATGTCTTTAGGTGGAATAAGACCGCCTGCAGCAACAGAAACCTGTTCAGAACAGGTTTCAGATATCCTTCCAAGTACTGACTCCAATGAGTGCACTGTCACCAGCAGAGTGGTGATCGAGACAGGTCTCGCGGTAGAGTGGAACGACTGGAACGTTGTTTCGTCAGTCAGCTCTCTGATGGCATCGTTCAAAATCATGCGGATCCGCGCTGCAATTGACGCAGTTATATTTTCGGCAGCTGATTCCGATAATATCTCCTCAATACTGCCGACCATGTCTCGTGTAAGTTTCTCACTGAACTGCACATTTTCTTCAGAGAGGAAATGAACTATCTTGGCTATATCAGAATGATCAGTAAACTGAAGAAGTAAACTCCTCAATCGCGATGTCTCTTCCGCAGTTGCTCTTCTACTATGTAGAAATTGCGTTTCGCTGAGAATAGCCTTCTCCACTTCACTTGGAGATGGTTCTCGTGCTGCCAAACTTATGCCGAACCGCTCCTGTATGTATGTCCGATGTTCCTCCGGCATTACTACTTCGTGCGCGTGACCGACACATTTGGTCAATTCAGTGACCAAAGAAACCTCATTTCGCTCTATAGCACGCAATCGACTTATGAGTGTTTCTGTGTTGCTCAGTGCTAAAGCCAGTTTAGCTGCGGAACTCCTTTCTACTGACTGCACAATAGTCAGAACACTCTCGTGAACACTTTCCTTGATAGCTTCTGAAACCACATTGTGGATCGCCTGGACCATATAATCCGTAGCCTCAGTTTCAGCTGACTTTTCGAGGTCTTTAATCGCTTGTATTATTGAAAGAGTCACTGGACTGCTTAACGCAATCTTCTCTGAACTCAGATCACTGATGATTGCGGCGATTTCAGCATTATCCTGGTACTTGCTCAACAGTTCTACCAGCTCCTTTTTCTCTTCGGTAAATTGACTAAGATTGTAAGTAAAGCGAAGCCGTCTCGAGACAGCAGCGGTGACTTCGACTTCCTGATCTCCCGGAGGAGGTCGCGGAATGCTTCCTGCAAATACTCGAACCTCTACAGCTTTGCTATCTCTTTCACGAGCTGTTATATCAGACCCAATTCCATAGCTCATAGGAATACTCTGAGAAGTAGTGTCTTCTTGGTATAGGTTCTCTAGAACAGATGTCAAAACCTGAGTACTAATTGCAAACTGTCGCTCTGTCCTTGAACGTCCACGAACAGGGAGTGTTGCTGATAGAGAACTGCGTGGCCTCTGTGTGAGGTCAAGATCAGTAGAGATGTCTGATTCTGCTGTATATTGAACATTTGCTCGTTCTGATTCCAACGCAGTTATGGCCATTGTTAGCTGTGCAGTCGATATAACATCCTTTGTTCGCAAAATTGTAAACGCATGCTCTTCCGCGATTTCCCTCACAACTGCGGAGATTGCGGCGCGGAGTGCTCCCGCTACCCTGCGGCTAATATCAGACGATTGTGAAGAGCGGTTTATCTCCTGTTCCACAGTGGCAATGATGGTTTTGGTGGCCATTCCGCTGAGAACGACTCTTCCCGAAACAAGATCTCGAAGCACCGTAGCCACATCTTCGTCATCCTCATATTTCTTGAGTAATTTTACAAGACTCGATGTTTCCTCAGATGTGGCTCTCACGCTGTGAAGTATTTGAAGGTAACGCGGCTGCTCTGTGATGATCTCAGCATGTTTTTGAGCATGCTGTGGTTTTTCTACAACCGTGATGTTCCCCGTTAGTCCTGTTTGTTCACGCCCATACTCTTTCATTTGAACACTCGTCTTGATTTCCTGTTTCTCTTGGAGAGTTGCCATGGACGATTGGCGAGCATCTTGACCCGTCAACGCTGTTGATAAAAGCTGCGCACTGATACCAAATCTCTCTTCAACATAAGCACGATGTTCTTCAGGCAAAACAGATGCTTGGACTTCGGAGAGAGTTCTGCTTAATTCTGACGTGATGGTTGTTTCATTTTGCTCGACAGCACGTAAATGGCGTATAGCAGTTTCACAAGCGCTCAGCGCCATAGCTAGTTTTGCTGTGCGGGTATTTTCCATTGTTCGCAATATAGTGTAAGACGTTTCATGAACACTCTCCTTAATTGCTTTTGAGATGACATCTCGAAGTGTACCGACAACGGCACGTTCGGTACCTGAGAACTCTGGCATTTTTTGAAGCTCTTTGATAACATGAATTATCGATTGAACAGTTGAACTGCTAAATTCGATTTTTTCTGAGATCATCTCGTTCATGATTTTAGAGACTTCAGCGTCAGTTTGGAATTTTCGCAGCATTTCCAGTAACTCCATCCGCTCCTCGGTGGACGATTTTATACTATGGGTGAAGTAAAGCCGTCTTGAAGTTCCAGGAGTGACTTCAGCCTCCTCATCTCGGGTGATTGATCGTTCTAGCAGCTGCGCAGATACGCTGGCTTCAACTGATTCATTTGTCTTTTCACGAGCTTTGCTGCTCGCGCTTTCTGCAACGTTCAAGGGAAACACCTGAGTTGTTGTACATTGATGATATATATTCTCAAGAGCAGACATCAATACTTGTGTATTGATGGCGATTCTTTGCTCTACTGACGACGTTCCATGTATGGGGAACGTTCCCACTCGGGAGATGGCAGCCTCCCGGATGAAATCAAGGTCAGTGGAGGTAACTTCTTCCGTTGGAGCGTGTATTCTCGCCGCTTCTGATTCAAGAGATGATAAAACCAATGCTAGCTGTGCAGTCGACACAATATTCTGGGTTTGCAGGATAGTGAACGCGCTCTCTTCCACAACTTCTTTCACAGATTTTGAAATTGCAGAGCGGAGAACTTCCGAAACACGTCGGCTTATATCGAGGGACTCCGAAGAACGTTCAACCTCTTTCTCAACAGCAGTGCTGATAGTCCTAGTTGCAATGCCACTAAAGGTTATTCTTCCCGACAGTAGATCCTTGATGACAATAGCCACATCTTCATCATCGTCGTATTTGCTCAATAACTTAACGAGATCTAAGTTCTCCTCCGATGTGGCTTTCACAGTGTGAAGGAATTGCAGATAACTGTGTTGCTTTCTAGCTAGCTCAACTTCATCTTGCTGTTCAGGCCGTTTTTCCAGAACCATGAGCTCTCCCATCACTTCTACTTCTTCCTGTCCAAATTCTTGCATATGGGCGCTTGCCTTTGATTCTTGTTTCTCCCACAGCGTGCCTGAAAATTCTTGCTGGAAACCTTGACGTTCTAATGCAGTTGATATAGAGCCCATACTAATGCCAAATCGCTCTGCAATGTAGACACGATGGTCTTCTGGCACAACAGATACTTGTGCACTGGAAAGACTTCTGCTTAATTCGGAAGTGGTACACACTTCGGCTTGCTCAACTGCACGAAGATGGCTTATCATAGACTCTGAAACAGTTACTGCCTTGGCTAAAGCTGCCGTCGAATTTGTTTCTATGCATTGCACTATTGCGAAAGCAGTTTCCTGAGCGACTTCCTTCACAGCTTTTGAAATGACATTGCGAATCGCTTCACTAACTGTACATTCAGCTCCTCCAATCTCGGATTGCCTTTGAAGCTCTTTAATTGATCCAATAATTGACTGCGTTGTTAATTTGCTCAGCTTGACCTTTTCCGATGCCAAATCCTCGAAGATTTTGGAAACTTCGGCATCAGTTCTGAATTTGCTTAGCAATTCCACTAACTCCGCGTGTTCTTCAGCGGAGGACTGTGTACTGTAAACGAGCCTGAGCCGCCTTGACAGTTCCGGCGTGGTTCCTGTTTCTTCATGTTTTTGTGAAGGTTGCGGCAGTAGCTGAAGTGAAGCGCTTACATCCGCATATTCCGTTCCTTGTTCATGAACTAGGCTTGCAGCTCGAACTACAGTAGCGTCTCGAAGATCTCCACCTATTGCTTCTCTCTGAGGTAATTGTTGCAAAACCGTATAAAGCACTTCTGCGCTTATAACAAACCTTCGGTCTGCTGTGGACATTGATTGAAGCGGAAGTAGCGTAGAGCCATATGCTGTTGATTCTCTCGCCAAAACGGTGTCTTTTGACACGGTCTCCTGCGTCGGCGATCGAACCTTTGCATCGGCAGATTCAAGCAGCGAAAGAACCAAAGCCATTGTTGAAGTTGAAGCAGCCTCTCTAGTTCGGATTATGGTGAAGGTACTCTCATCAGCCATCTCTTTTAAAGTTTTAATAATGCCAGAGCGAAGAGCATCAGCGACCTTAGCACTGACATTTTCGGCTTCAGAAGATCTGCTCACTTCTTGTTCTATTGATGTGGCTATCTGCTTCGTGGCAATTCCACTGAACTTTGCTTCCCCGGAAATGATTTCTTGTTTTATGGCAGCCACGTTCTCGTCGTCTTGATATTTGTTCAGTAGTTTTACGAGCTCAGTTTGCTCCTGTGTGGTAGCTTTTATGCTGCGCAACAGCTTTAAGCATTCGAATTTCTGTCCAACTGATTCGATTTCTTGCTGCTGTTCTACTGGCTGCTCAACCACACTCAGTTCACCTACCACTTCGGCGTGTTCCTGAGCGTACTCTCGAGCTGCATATGTGGTTTTTTCTACAGATGTTTTTGGGAATGTCCTCGACAGTCCTCCTTCTCTTTGTGGAGTCAAGCCAAGCTCTTGAGTTACTGTCTGTTCCTCGACTGTGAACTTCCGTTCATTTGCATCCCTCGTTTGAAGAGGAATAGTGGTGCTCCTTCCAAACTCACTCATCGGACGCAGGAAGTGTGATGATAGCTGTTCACTAAGCTCTGAAGCAGCGTGAACATTAGCTACTAATGATTCAACAGATGTCAAGGTTAGCACTAACGTAGCCTCCGATGTGGTTCTAGAGCTTCTGATGATTGCAAACGCATTCTCATCGACGACTTCTTTTATTGCTAAAGAGAGAACTGTTCGTACGGCGTCGGCTACATTTTGACTGACCTCCCCTGATTCAGGCGCTCTGCGCCACTCCTGCTCGACCGCTTTAAGAAGGGTACGAGTTGAGAAAGTGCTGAACTTGAGCTTTTCCGTCCTCAGCGCCTCTAGAATTCTTCCGATGGACTCATGTTCCTCGTAGTGTTCTAACGTTTTGAGCAGCTCAGCGTGTTCCTCCTTTGTGGCCTTGGTTGCGTAAAGTGTTTGGATTAACGAAAATCTGTGTCGCGTCGTTTCCGCAGTATCTCGGCCTTCTTTTGGCTGTTGTATAGTTCCGACAACTGCTTGAGTAAACGTTTCTACCTGATCGTATTCTTTTGCTGATCCGGTGATATGTTCCATTCTTGATGTTGATATCGTTGCTTTTCCTGCTTCCGACGCTTCTTTACGAGAAATTTCGGATAGCGCTTTCTCCAATTCTATGTAGAATAGGCGCTGAACTGATTCTGTCAATGTCAGTTTTTTACAGTGAGATGCGGCCTCTTCTTGATTCATATCTAATGCTGTTTCCAAAAATGATGACGTGAGTTCCGGCGCTCTCGCTTTCTTTTCTGCTGTTGCTATGATATGCTCAGGCCATTGTGAATGAGCTTCTCCAGCATCACTCACGCTTCTCCACACACCACTCACAGATTCTTCCGTTGCATAGTGCATGAACGCTGTAGTCTCCTCCTGGAGTCTGGCAGCAATGATCGCTCCGATGTTGCCAGATTCTGAAGGCTTTTCTAGAGCTAATGTAATAGCTTCACTAAGAAAACTAGCAGCGCCGACACTGAGCCTATCCCTTTCCTCCAAGACAATAGTTTTGATTAAACTTATTTCAGCCAATTGCTCGTGTTTGGTCAGCAACTTGAGGAGTTCTGCAACATGCTCTGAGCTGGCTTTTAAGCCTAGTCGGAGCAGCGTTGCTTCCTTAGTCAGCAAGATGGTTTCAGCCTCTTCGTGTGGATGTGGTGGAGCCGACAGTGTGCCAAGGACACTTCTCAGACCAGTGTCTGCACGACCATACTCTCGAAGTTTGGCCGCAGAGGTATCCGTCGATGTGGTTGGAAGTACTCTAGAGCTTTCCAAGCATTTTGGAGCGCTCGAAAAAGAGACATGGCTGTCCTGCGTAGACATGTGGAAAACTCTACTTGTTTCATCTATTGGAGTCTCTTTTAGAGTAACGATTCCATCTGCGAACACTTCCCGTCTAAATTCATCTTCGAAATCAGTGAAGGAATGGCCAGCCGCTGAAATACTTCTGCTCAGTGCGACAGCCGTTTTCATTCCCATTTGAGCAGACGCTGCACCCTCGCCTTCCTCACCTGTTTTCCATAAAGCACTTACAAATTCTTCTGTGCTTTCAGGAGACATGAGTGATATCACATCTTTGACTGCCATAGCAAGAACGGCCTGAGTGGAAGCTTTATGCTGGGATTCTGAGCAATAGGTTGTATTCAAAGCAGTACTTGATTCTCTGCTAAAGTCAGTACTCAGTGAGGTGCTCTGAAAAGCACTAACCTTCTTAGCTAGTTCAGCTGACTCCGAGCTATCATCGCGCTTCATTTTTCCAGTAGTTTGTATGATTTCATCCGAAGATGCCATTATAGAGGCATCGCCTCGCAGTACGGGTATGTCACTGAGTGACGTGGATATCTGTTCGGATTCAGGTGTGCGAGGAGTTAATGAACCTAATGAACCAAATAGCAGAGCGCTTTCATCGCTGTATTGCCTGAGTATTTGCTTCTGTTTCGCGAAAAGCCGCTCTTGTAGAGTGCCTGTACTTCCAGCAGATTTCATTGCCTTGCTTATTAGGAATTCATCACTCTGTGTAGCAATTCCAAAGGCCCTGTCCACGGAAGCACTTTGTGCTTGTTTCCACTTCACTGCTTTGTCCTCTTTTGCCTCCTTTACCAGTTCGGAAGATAGCTGGGTATCTATTTCAGTGGATCCTCGCATTTCCTTGGTTAACACTAAGGATTCATAGGACTTCGTGCGCAGTGTTCGCGAAACGCCTTCTGCTGGGACATTCGAGTCCCAGAAGCCAAAAGCTTCCATTTCAGAAGTAGCAGTCGATTGCATATGGGCGGACTCCTCAGATCTGCCCTTTACGAGCACTTGGCTCGATTCAGCGTGAGGCTTACGGGACACCAGATCTTCTGTCATGCTGTATGATTCCTCTTTCGAAGCATCAACAGTGAACAATGTTGAGTGTTTCTGAGGAGCGCTGCTGATTGCAATGACGTCTGCTTCAGAGTCGCCTCTTCGCAGCCTCAATTCTTTCTCAGTAGCACTTTCCTTGCTTGCATTTGTTAACAATTCTTCTTGAAGAGTTACACTCGCGATGCGCTCGATCTCAACCTCCTCTGCAAATTCTGGTTTAGGTGTGAGCTTTCCAAACATACCCTGAAGGCTACGTTTTTCTTGCCCGAATTCGAAAGCTCTAGATCTCACGGTCTCAGTTTCAACGTCTGACAGCGTAATGTAGTCGTGTGCCATTTCCGATTTCCGCGCGAGACTCGCTTGTTCAACTTCACTTTCAACTCCGAAGTCTGCCTTGACCATTTCTTCCTTTTTCTCTCTCAGAACTCCCTGTACAAGCTGGCTCGGTTGCCATTCTAAAGATGCTTCAGTAGTGGTTTCTTTCTCAGAAACAGCATCAACCCGTCTTTCAATGGAATGCGACGAGGCACTTTTCTGCAGCAGTCGACCTTCCACCTGGATGTCTTGGTCGGAGGTGGCCCAGAAACCAACCGCTGACTCGTCGGCGACCTCTTTGACTTGCCGAGAGGCTGCCAGCTCGCCTACTACTGGCCTGATCAGCTGAGAGTGATCAGTAGAGTCTCGCAACTCCAAATGGAGAACACTTATACCCACATGTTCTTCAGTGGACCCTTTAGTCCTCACACTGGCACGCTCTGTATGTATTTGCTCTATCAGACGATCAGCATCAACGTGCTCCTCTTGCATGCTCGCTCTACTGAATATTCTTGTCTCCTCCACGAATTTGCTTTCCTGCATTGAAGCCTGTGCCTGCGTGATTTGCTGCTCTCTTGCGATTGCTGTTGCGGTTGCGTATTGTGCAGGTGGTTTTGTTAATTTGCCTGTTTGAATTTGTAATTGCTGTTGTTGTTCTTGTATCGTCATTGTTTCTTTGTGGTGTTTTTCTACTTCCTCTGTGCCGTGTATCAGGTCTGCAAAAACCATTTATTACGCTTAACATCTTCACTTAGTGATGTGTATTTCTTACACGCACTCAACCATGCCCAAGTAAACTGCGAACTACGTAGCGATTGAATGAGGCAGTTACGCAAAACTGTTGCATTTAGCATAGTTATGGTTCTAAACCAGGGTAAGCTGTCCTAGTAGTTAACAACATTCATCCATTAGTGATCTGTATCGGCCTACAGCCACAAACTCTTCCTCATCACTTAGCTGTATAACCATATGACCTTTCGTATAGCTCCGTTCTGTAATGGTCAAAATTCGCTGAAGCCGCCGCTTAATGCTGTTTGCCCAAGCTCTACTAGTTATTCTATTTATTCTATCTACAGCTACAACTAAACCGACGCTTTTGTAAGTCAGACTAAAAGCAGGGTCAATTTCATACGAAAAACAGCACTCACCTGTAACGAGATGTCGGCTTGCTTCTCTACGCTCGAACTCGTCCGTGTACTCGGCTTGATGGCTCTCGGATTGGAAAAGCTTTTCTGAGGTATGGAGCACCTCCTTTGTGAGATGCTCTTCACGTACTTTCCGTATACGATCGCCAAGATACAGACCAAGGGCTGCCATAGCGTAATTGCCAAGCACTTGTTTGTACAGGAAGTACACAGTCACCTCGGAGGCGGCATCTTTTCGACGTATACGTAAATCTTGATGGAAATTTTCATCACGTAATTTATGGTGCTCAGAAAGCTTTGAGAGATGGAAGGAGGCGGATCTAAGTGTGGCTTGTGGCCACGCTACATATGCTTCACCCCGTGGGGGAAGCATTGTTTTATAATTGGTGAGGTGGAAGCTTTTTGTTGTCGTACGAGTGTCTAGGTCTACAAACCCACCTGTGACCGCTTCTGCCAATGCGGCCGATGTTGTTCCATGTGCTCCTCCGGTGTTCTTCAGCATCACAGCGCAGTGCTCCTGTGCTTGACCATATTCGGCTACATGTGTCATGGCTTCCTGTCGATGGCGATCGCGAATTTTGACGGCGGCCGTCTCAAGGTTGGCTCCTTTGTTGAGCATTAATGTCGAGCTGATGACGTGAGTCTCAGATGCCCAGGCTCGCATCGCCGATGAAGTTGTGTTGGCTGTCGCAAGATACTTCTGGACATCCATCATTGAGGGTAGTGATGTTTCCTTCTTGATTGCAAGATAAGAAGTCACCGCACTGTCCGAAGCTGCTCGTGTTCTCAGGAATTCTCCTCTGACATGCTTATCCTTGACAACTACGTCAGCGATCTGATCCTGGATTCCGGGCATCTTTTGCAGGTAGATTACACTGGTTGCATGTTCCAAAGACATCTCATGGAGTTTTGCTGCAACACTTGCGGTGTTAGGCGTCTTAGACGAGCTCTGAACTCCGAGCATCTCTCCAGAATGACTCAAACCAGTGGTGAGTGTGACATGTTCGAACTCGGCTGCTGCAGTGAGGAATTTCGCTGAATGCAGGTTCTTCTCCTTTCTAACAATACTTGCCTCACCCAGTCGTGGTGTGGTATTCTCAAAACCGTATAGCATCATCGCCTGCTCTTCTTTCATTTCACGGAACCTTCCATGAGCTTTAGTACGAGATACAGCCGCTAGGTTACAGTCCGTGATCATGTCCTTTTCTCCCTGCTTCACGACATTCTGCAGTGCTACCGTTGCATTTGCATACTGCTTCACTGAGTTCCCGGCCTGAGAACGATTCTGCCCATAGAGCTTTGTCTTTTCTAACTACTGAGGCTTCCTCGGAATCATCGCTCGGGACCATAAAGGCGGAGTTAACTTCACACGATTCCTTCTTCATCACCGCTCGCTTAATTTGCATAAATTGTGGTTCGTAGGTGTTGACAGTCTCGAACACAACGTCGAAGTAGGAATCTGACTCCTTTTTAACTAGATCTACAATGGTTGGCGAGCCACCATTCCACTGTACAGATTCTTCAGACTCGGACTCGTAGCGCCTTCCTTCCTTCCGGAAAGTCTTCTCTCCTCGTAGCGTCATTCCTTCCATTTCCATTGAGTACTGACCTCCTTCCGCTTCACGTTCCTGCATAATGATCTTCTTCACAGGCGGAATCCTCTTCGGAGGATTCAGAATCGAAAGCCCTTCCACGACGTTTGATCACCGCCTCGCCAACCAACTTCAGGCCTTGCTGTTCCATTTCATAGCTACCGCCTTCAGCTTCTGTTTCCCTTAACTTTCTTTCCTTCTCCATGGTAACTTCGTTTACTGTTGCTTTTTGGAGAACAGCTTCCTGCTCCTGAACTAAATTCCGAACTTGCGATTCTTCTTCTTCGGCAGACTCTACTCGTCGTTGGAAGACGTCGTAGTGAGGACTCCTCCTCAAAGAATTGTCCGGCCTGCTCCATAGCAAACGCTTTTGAGAACTCTTGTTGACGTCGCTGGGCACGTCCCCTAGTCAGAATCATTGATATTGCTTGTATCAAAGGAACGGCAATATGAACGGTAAAGTTCGAGCTGTCTTCTCTTCGAATTAAATCGCAGTCGGCGAATGCGTTGGCACATCTAGCCTTCGCCACAACCTCCAGCGAGTCATCGGTCTCCAGACGACGAGTTCTCTTCAGGGCACCTTCTCCCTCGAAATGATAGCCATCTTGCATCAGTTTGATCTCAGCCTTTTCTGGCTCACGCCATTGCTCTTCTTCACGCTTGAGTGTATCCACGTAGATCTTCTCCACCTTCTGCTGCTGAATGGGTGACGGGGTTCTGTCGGCTGTCTCTTCGTAGTGGAGTGCTTGTGGTGTTTCTTCTTCCAGGTAATCCTCGGCTCGTTCGCCAATCACGTATGTTTTGAGAATGTTAGTGACGTCTTCAACAACCTCTACTTCGACGTGAGTCACGGCACTGACCGCGTCCGCATCTTCGCGCAAATCCCTCAGAAGGCGTTGACCAACCTCTGACAGATAGTCCTTCTTGTTCTGAAATCAGATGGATGGTCAAAAAAATAATTATGTCTGATTTCATCAATCAATGGCGTGCTCGATATGGTTTCCGATTTAAAATAGCTTTGTTTCGAGATTGGCAGCTTTTTGACTACTCCCTGTGGAAGTTTAATTCCATATATTTAACAGGATGCTACGGTATTCATCTAAAGACGTCGTACAGAATTACCGCGATTTTTGGGCCAAGAATTGACTCCATTAGCGCGCTGTTCCTTGTTTCAGATTAAATGGAGGTGAAAAAAAACGGAAAAAGGAGGGGTGCTCTAACGACGTCGTTCCCTGGCTCAGCTCACCCTGTGCTCTCGAACGGGGATCTTTAAGGCTGCGTTCACACTTTGCGGCAGCGTCCACCAGCGTCTACCAGCGTCCACAGCGACCACTAGCGTTCCGAGCGTCCGGCAGCGTCAGCGACTAGGAAAGTATAGATATCGATCTAGCGTCTGCCAGCGTCTGCCAGCGTCTACCAGCGTCCACCAGCGTTCACCAGCGACCGGGAGTAGAGAGTATGGGGAAGTAGGAGGGTAGCAAACAGCTGGATTAGGCGTCGTGAAATTGCGGCGTGTGCAACCGCACCGCACAACTGCTAAAGCACAGAATTATGTGAATTTAATGTGCAGTGTAGTGTAGTTGCACACGACGCAATTTCGCAACGCCTAATCCACTGTTTGCTACCCAATACTTCCCCATACTCTCTACTCCCGGCCGCTGTGAACGCTCGTGAACGGTGGCAGGCGTTGTATCGATACCTATACTTTCCTAGACGCTGACGCTGCCGGACGCTCGGAGCGCTAGTGGCCGCTGCTGGACGCTGCCGCAAAGTTTGAACGCTGCTCAACATCACACCAGGCGTCTTAGACTGTGGCAAAGCATGGATAATACCATAGCCATGTTGCCTAGAATGATGCGGTTTTACTACTGGGATGGTTTCTCGACTCATCTAACTGGAATATTCAACAGATAAATTTGGAAGCGTAGGAAGCAAGTAGGGTTATCGCATTGTTTTTTTTTCTTGAGGAACAGGTCCCCTTCTATTGGAGAAATAAGATCAAAAGGAGTCAACGCCAAAATGTTAGAAAGCTAACTCCAAGAATCGTGTCGAAAAATTCTTAGTTAATATTGGCAGTTGTTAGAGCTTTACAAGCAAACAACTTACCATAAATTCGGGTATTTCCAGCGTCGCTTCTTTTTCCATTTTCGTTTCGCCGTTTTCGATAAGAGTGATCTTAAACTTGGAGTGACCGTCTTTCATCTGAAATTTAACTCGCTTATAAAGATAATGAAGAAGAAAATTGCTACAAAGGAAAATTCGCATACCTCTTCAAGAATGAGGCTTTTCTTTCCGATAGTCGTTTTGATCTGGAACATATTGGAAATCAACGGCACTCGACGAATTCAAACAATGGAATCCGTGAAAAACTCTAAGAAAAATAGTAGGAAATCTGGTCAATTCAGGAAGATGGTAGGTAGGACGGGGAAAGGAGGAGTTTTTAAGAGGGTGTCGTATGTTATGAAGTTCTCACCAACCGGAGGATGTGCCCTGGCAGGAGTGCCCCTCGTTAAGTTTTCTTTATTGTAAGGCATGCAAGGTTTTTTGTTCTTTGATGATGGCCGCAATCCCACAGAGTAAGCGAACGATCTTATCTGATGAAGTGTGCTTACAGTGTGCTCCGAGAGGTGGATCATTTTTTTGTGCTGAAGGAGGGCAGGTCCTCAGCCGCGAAGGTGTACAGTCAGAAACGATAGGACGTGTGACAGGGGTGTGACTTAGGCAGCATTCATATTAGGTTGGTGCAATTAGTTTCTTGGCGCACGTGCTTTGATCCTTCTCGTATTTCGTTTGCCATGGAATGTTGGTATTAGTAGCCATCACGTGTTGCGTTACGCGAGCACAATACTCTTTCGATCACACTAGCGCCTATTCACTCACAACCTTGCATTTGCAGGACCACAATGTCGCGCACAATTTCCACGTGTGACAAAATGTGACAGTCTGCGCAGCTGTCTGGTTTTTGCTTAACGATTCACAAAAGAAGCTTCGCGTTCTCAACTCGATGATCACTGGAGATGAGAAGTGGGTCCTCTACGATAACCCTGTGAGGGAGCAGGAGTGGGTCGACAAAGGAGAACAGCCAGAAGCCACCTCAAAGGCCGACCTTCACACCAAAATGGTTCCCCTGTTCTGTTGGTGGTCCAGAAGAGGCATGGAGTTCTGGGAGCTGCTGGAGAAGGGACAGACGATTGACGCTTCCGATTACGTTACGCCAGGCTGCGGGAAATGCAAAAGTCACGTCGAAGTACTCGGTGGAAGGAATGCGGAAATCTACTTCCACCATGACAACGCCCGACCTCACACTGCAAAGGCGACCCAGGCCGAGCTGGAGAAGTACGGATGGCTGATGGTCGCCCACCCTCCCTACAGCCCTGACCTCGCTCCTTCTGACTACTGGCTGTTCAGCCACCTGCAGCGCTCTCTGGACGGAAAAAAGTTCGAAACAAAGGATCAGGTCAGAAAGGCGCTCGACGACTTCTTCAAGTCCCAGCCCCCGTCGTTCTGGAAAGAAGGAATCGACAAGCTGCCTGAGCGCTGGCATCGAGTAGTGGATGGTGATGGTGCATACCTCTAATCTTCAGGTTGGTTCGCTTTTGAGATATTTACGAAAAAAATCGTGGCCAAGAACTTATGCACCAACCTAATAGCTTCGCTCTGGTCGCGCCTTCTCCACGATCGGTGCAATTGAAAGCGTGCGCATCGATCGTCGAATCGCGCGACCGGAGCGCTGCCGTCGCGAAGTATGAACGCTGCCTTAGAGCGCAGCTAGGGCAGATTTCCCACTGATTGTAGCGGGCTCAGTGGCATGGCTGCGTTCCAATTCGCGCCGTGTCACACACCCTATCGTTTGCAGGGATAATGACTGCACCATTTCGCACTTAGAAGTGGAGCTAGCAAAGCAAGCAGTGGAGCCAAAGACTTGTGATAGCTTATTGTTGGTCCTGACCTCCATTTGGTACGCTATAAGGCTACGTGATACGCTCTGCTCAAGCATGTCCTCTCACCGGAGCTTTTGGTGGACTTGATCTGTGCTAGTGATGCTTCTTCCAAAATGATCTTGGGCTGTACATCCGTAAACAGAGACATCACCGCCCCAATCAAGCCAGTGAACTCTGTCTGGGTGAGAGGGCACAGTCGAGCAGCGCGTACTGCTTCTGAACTAGTGCGCCTCAAAACAAGAACAATGAGCGAGCTGATTTCCGATCTCAGGACCTGTGCTCTATATGCTCTGATAGCCAGAGAGGTCAATCATTTACCACGCTTTTCTTCCTCATTTGTTCACTCATTGGAATACGAACTGAGGTTGCACCGTGATTTCGGTTGCAATACTACTACTACTACACTATCTGTACCGCTAAGTAACCAAATCTGACCGTGGCTAAAAGGGCCTACATGAGCATCCCATCGAATAAGTTTTATTAGAAACTAACCTTATAATTGGTTACGGTGTCACGAACTGTCCACGCACTCGAGACACAACTGTCGACCGTGATAAGGTCAGCGCCAACAATTTTCTCCATTCGAAGCTTGCCTTCGACTGTTGTTCTGACCTTAAATGGATTTGTTTTGGGTTTAGAACGTTCAAGCTCACATCTGATTGCAGCGTCTAGGGAATACTGCATAGTCAAAAGTTACGAGCACTTTGGACTTTTGAGCTTATACGAAAGACTAAAGTGGTTTGCCTCACGATAAAAAGCAAGTGGTGTTAAAGAGGAATGCGAACTTACCACTGGTGGTCCTTGCTTCTTTTTCTCATAGTCGATTATGGTTTCAGTGCGTCGAGAGCCTACCGGCGACAGTACTTTCTCTTGATGTTGCGGCACCGGTGGCGGCGGCAACGCCTGTCGATGCGATGAATATGGAGACGTTGGAACAGGAGCACGTGGCCGTTGGAGTGCGGAATATGGAGACGTTGGAGCAGCAATCTGCTGCCGATGTGGGGCATACGGCGACCCAATCGGAGATTCTCCCAAACTGCCATTCGTGTAGTTGGCACTAGCGGCGTCACTGGGACGACGCGGTTGTGAACCCAAAGCATAGGCCTGAAGAAGTGAGGTTTAGATGGAGAAGCACAGCATTTCACAGTTGACTGAGTGTCGTTTTCTTAATGGAAGCCAAGAACGGAGTGAAACGGTCAAAATCCGGCGAAGAAAAAGCCTCCGTTCTCAGTGACTTGTAAATCGATTTCGGACGAGTTTCCCGTACGCATCTTGCCAATCACCGCTACCGAAGATACGGCTGCATATGTGTACCCATATATGCATGCAGCATCACGGCCGCTTCATACCAATCCCTTTGCTTCATAATTTGCTCAGCAAATGAATGAATACGAGCGTCAGAAACGGTCGTCCGTTTGTGGGCGGGCGGGCAAGGAAGGCGTTTGGGACGTAAAGTTGTTGCTCAATAGGGCGTTATAGAGGTACCCTCCTTGGAAAAGGCTTCACGCAGCGCCTGTCCGAGGTCACGGAATTCTGTTAAGCCAGTTGTACAAATCCTACACCTGTATAGCGATTTATCGTGCCAACTGCCTTTAAGTGATGAACAGCACTGTATGTATTGTAGTTAGCAAGGAAAGCGCAAGAGGATGAAGTCATACACACAGTACATGTTTAAACACAGTAAGAGCTGTTTTCAAGGATGAAAGGACGAAAAGGGCTGGAAGATAGCTGCGCATTTGTGGAACTTGACCAGTTTAGGGCAACTATCTATCTCGCATCTACGCTACATCGTATTGTCTCTGCTCTGCTACGCATTCGCTAACGGTATCTTCTTAGCTTCTCCAGTGGACTCTCGTATCAATAGCCGCGCCCACGACTAAGAGAAGTTCCTCTCTAGGCTCAGATATGGGCTGCAGAAAAAGGTTGTTTTTTGCGTAGTTGTATTTTGGAGATCTCTCTTCCACGCAACTGGA